CTAAATGGAGGGTGTGGCCTCCACGCGCGGCTTCTTTTTCTTCTGGAAAGGCGTTTGTCTTTTAGTCTTTGCGTGGTCTGTAAATTCAAAATTGTAATACAAGACGATGGATGGTGCGAAAAGGTGTCTGCAAGGCGGCGCTTAACTTAAAAAGCGAAAGTTCATCCACGCTACAGTTTTTTTAAAGGAATGTTTATATGATATCAATATAAAAATAAAATTAATAGATTCTTTATTCTTTAAATATAAATTAGAGTAGTTAACTTGATAAAAATAAAAGTTTAAAGATTTTTATTTTTAAATATAAATTAAAAAATGAGTTGACTCGTTACATTTAAAGGTTAAAATTTTACTTTACCTAATTTTAGATAATAAATTATAAGTTTTTATATATTTTATTTATGATTTATCTTTCCTATTAAGTTTCTTCTTAAAAAAATATTATCTTTTTAAAATTTAAAGAGTCTTGGATTTAAATAAAAATTTTGTTTTTTATATTTAAAAATCAATAAGATGCTCTTTATTTATATGAGGAGATACTCTACTAATTACTATACTTCACAAAAGTAGGGTTGGTTGTCACCACTATATAAACATGTTTATTGTGTTCTTAGGAGATATAAAATGATTTTTCAGATTTTCTCTCAAACTTACAAATTAAATTATGTAATTTAGACTTGTTTATCAACCCTGAAGATATAACCGTGTGTTAGTCTTGTTTGTATGCTAACTCACTACGGCATCAACAATCTATTAAGTTGATAGAAAACATCATAGTCAATATAGAATAATAAACAAAAAATAAAAATAGTCACTTCATGGCTTTTGTGTAGAGTAGCAATGGGCCCGATATCTCTCAAGGTAAGTTTGTTATTGTATGGATATAAGATATAATTTGACAAGGGCTTTATACATGAGGAATGAACGGTAAAAGAACAATGCATTGTACTATCTTAGTGTCGTGATCAACTGGGTATCCCGTTGGGGTCGTTTTCAAGGCCAAAATCTATGTTTCGGTGTTTTGGGACCGTTAAGTTTTCTATGTGTTTTTTTGTATTTTATTTAGAGCCAACAGTTAAGATATATATTTTTTAAAAATTAATTTGGATTTATTTCTTTGTTTATTTGAATGCCTTTTTTCCAAACTAAAGTATGAAGAAGAAGAAAGAAAAGAAAGAAAAAAAAAAAAAAGGATAACTAAAGGACCTCCATTTCAAACCCAATATTATTGCCAGATTAAACAGATGCAAATTTATCCAATTGTCTAAAGCATTAGTAATCCCACTTCCGTATGCCGAGAAAAGAAATACAAAATGGCATGCATGACCTTATAACATTCAACCCACTAAGTTATCCCAACAACTTAAACTTCTTGTACAAACTATTAACGTTTATGAAGAAGACATTAAGTCATTTATATGATGTGACAAATGAATTATAATCGTATTTAAATAGTCTACCAACGTTATTCTTTTTCAACATATTAACCAACCAGAACACAAATTAATTGTTGTTGTTGTGTTTTGCTTTTCAAATGTAAATTGTGGTTGAGAATTATCATGTGTTGGAAAGATTCTAACTTTATGCAAATGATTTAAACTTAAAATCAGTTAACAACAATGGATTGGCTCAGTAATAAATATTAGGACCAAGGGGGTTGCTTTCTCGGTAGTCTAGGTTGAATCATAACAACAATATTAATATTGTTGGTTAAGACCATAGGACTTGCCCTGTGTCAAAGTCTTGTTTGAGGTCAGGAGAGTAGTTAAGTAAGCTAGCTATACATACCGTATTTAAAAAAAAAAAAAACATAATTTCGCAACTTTAATTGGTTTCCAATACAATCCATTTTATCATATAATATTCTTAACAAACAGTGGTGTTCATTGGAATATAATTATCACCTCTTTATTGTAGTTTTTATCACGTCTCACATCATTAGCTAATTTAAACAAGTTTGAAATTTAGTTTATAAAACTTTGTCCTCTTATCTGAATAAATATGATGTAAAATAAGTCCAGTCAAGTATAAAAATGAGAAAGAATAGCCGTCGATTTAAGTATGAAACTAGGGGTGTTCAGTTCTGGGTATTCTGTATTTTTTGAAAGAACCAAAACCAAAACTGGAACCGACCTCCGGTTCCCATCCAGGTACCCTATAAAATTCTTTTACCCCCCAAAAGTATATAAAATGACAAAAAACCCTTAAAAACCTACAAATACCCCCCACTTAACACTTGTTAACAAAAAATAAAATTACAAATACATTATAAAGCCTTAAACCTAATTTCATTAATTTTACTTTTCCATTTGCCACCACAACGTTTGCTTTCCTAACCTTTTTACTATGTAAATATTTTCTACTTTTTAAACCATTACCATCAGATGCAATCACTTTTCTATCCAACAATGAACAATATCAATGACATATGCAAGCTATCATTTTTAATTAATAAATGGTGGACCATTGGGGCCCTAATGTAGTAATGCCTTAACTTTGTGACTTTGTGCTCCAAGCCCCCAACAGGCCAACACAGCGAAGAATCTGTCAACTATATTTGTCTCTTACGCAACCACCAAGTCAAATTTAGCTGCAAGTATCATTTTGTGGGTCCAATTGTGTTATTCCCTTCTCTATCTGTTTTGTTTTTCGAATTTAATTTGATAATAAAGATCTGTCAACACTTAACAGGATGGGGAAGTAAGGCAACATAGTGGGAAGCAGTAAGCACATGGGTCTTGCATTTCACAACTTTTAAACACAAGAATGATGCCTATAAAGTGTTTGTGAAAAACCTCACTTCACACCGTCAACACAACAAGGTCTTAGAAGAAGAGAGTTCAAGTGGGTCTTAGAAAGGGAAACGAAAACAAGATACCTAGAGCTGCAGGAATCCCACTTTAGCGCGATCCTTAACCAAACAGGGCTTTGTTGTTGTTGCGATGAAAAACCAAAGCAAAGTGTGAATGAATTTTTTTTCAATTTGGCGGTTAGGGTTAAAGAGTCGAATTGGGAATTTTAGTCTGCACTAATTTAAATTTTTAGTGTAAAATATCTTATAACCCCCCAGATTTATATATAATTTATTTAAGTCCTGATTCCCAGGTACTCGTCAGTTCCTACCTGGTGGAACCGAAACCGGAACCGTACAGTGTCGGTTCCAGTTTTTTGGAACTAGAACCGACCCTGTCACTACTGGTTCCAAGTAGGAATCAGAACCAAACCCCGGGTACCCGTCGATTCTGGTTTCGATTGGTTCTTTTGTACACCCCTATATAAAACCATTATTGGGTGACTTAATTGTAAAAAGAGTAAGAGGAGAATCTAATATATTCCCAAGTTTAAGTCCTCTTAGTAGTGAAAGAACAAGAAAATGATGTAACATGGTCGAGTTGGAGTCTCCACGACCGTTAATAGGGGTGGTCACTAGAGTTCTTACTCAATCGGCAATTTTAGAATTCTAAATGATTAACTGAGATGTATGCAAAATGATCCGAACACTTTCGATTAAAAAAAGAAAAAAAAATCACATGGACACAATATTTTAATTTCATTAAAAAAAAAAAATTCAGTACAACTTTTTAATGTTAAAATCGACACAATTAATGTCATAACAAAAAAAAAAAAGGGATTTCAGTACAACTTTTTAATGTCACAATCGACACAAATATTTTAGTATTTTAAATATAAACAATCTTGTAATAACAAACGTGTTTATTATGAAGATCATCTAGATCCCGTCCTAATTGAGTCAATTCAAATATCTAAAGCATAATTTCCAAGTCTTTAATGCGAAAAAAAAAAAAAAAGTATGCTGTTATTATATAATCGCCCTTGATAATAAAAGTGGGTGTTAAAGATTTCCCATAACAATTATTTTTTAAGTAATAATAATAAATAAGATATTAAAATTAATGTAATATGTTTAAGTCAATTACTAATGTTGAGTTTATGCCATTCCTGTGGTACACACAATGACATTATAAATTTTTTATTAGAATATCTTTTAAATCAAGTAAAATTCAGAAATTTCTATCTGATTAAGAGTATTATTGCTCCCACACTTACTGATCTTGGTGTAATTATTATTAATAATCCGGTAAAAAAACAAGTACTAGTAGTGTTAATTTTGGATAAGATTGTGCACTTAATTTGTGTACTTGGCGAGACTGGAGTGTTGTAATAATTTGATTCCAACCTTCATAGGCGGAAGATGTTATGTTTATCCAAATCTATCAAGTGGATTGAAGTATTCATACCATGACTAGTATTATACCGTTAGAATCATAAGTTAATAAAATAACTTTCAGGAGGTATTCTCTAAGTTTTTACCAAAGGACAGAATAAGACTGAGATTGGATTTGTTCTTGGCGATATTATTTTGAAAACCATTAGTGTGGGCTTGCTTGAGGAGAGAGGGAGTTTGCCACCCCAAGCCCTATTTTGTGGTGCGGAATAGTAATGCTTGTTCATAATGATTGCAGGATTTGTTGTTGTTAAACGATGAGTTGGTTTATTCTAGAAATTGCGAGCAATTTGGGAATTACAATATCTGTTAGGGGTCAAAAATAATTTTTGAAATATCAAGCTTGGATTCAAAGTGAAAGTGTTAACAATTAATCGTCTTCAAAGAAGAATAAATATTGGTCCACGTTGGTGCAAAAGAGTGGGAAATAACGGGAATAGGTCACTTTCACATGCACAAAATATCTCCTGAACATATACAGTACATCACAAAAGAAACGTCATGACTGATGTTTTTCTTTCGAAATATACCATGGGTGTTCTCAAACAGTCTCAAGAATATTTGTGATCTTAAGTAAGAGTTATTTTAGGATCTTTTTAATAATATAAATGTATATTAAATAATTATTTTAAATTTATTTTTCTTGCCTTTTGAGATGTAGGATCACTAATTAAATTTTATATTCAAGTTTAGAAACCAAATCTTTTTCAATTGATACAGCTAAATTACCTAATCTTTCTTATGAGGACGAGAGATGGACGGCGACTGGCAGGCTACTGGGATCAGGTAAGTGAGGGGTTTTGGAGAGGGGGCTGAGGGGACGAAGATGGTGGTGTCGGGGAAGGTCAACAATAGCGGATATGTTCCGGAAATGGCTATCGCATGCGGTGAAGAATGAAAATGTGTTACGAAAATCAGCAAAAATTGCCCAAATTGGGGGTTATCAAGACTGGAAAAATATTTGGGAAATGATTAAGTGATCAATCCAGTCTATTTTGGTGAGAAAATTAACTAGAATCATCACTTTAACGTTGACAGCGGCACTATGGCAGTGTAGATGGGTGGAGATGTAATGCTTTCATCATTTTAGGGATTGAATGGGTGCTTTAAAATTTTAGACATTTAAATAACTATTTTAGTTAATTTAGGTGTGTGAATGGAAAATATTAAACATGGCTTTTTTGTAAAAAAATTATAATGAATTTAGGCTTTTTTGGCTTTTTTGGGGCCCTTTGGACTAGTTTAAATAAAAAATTATAAACTTTTTTAAGCCCAATGATATTTCTATAAATCTATTTAAAAAAATCTTAAAATAATTTTGGGCACTTTTTGGGCCCTACGCAGGTACCTCACCTGCGTACCCCTTAGGCTGGCCCTGGGTGTTCTTAAAACCAAGGGGAAAAATTGTTCTTTTGTAAATTGTAATAGGTGGGAGTGCAATTGGCATTATCTCTGAGGTGGAAATTCCTGTTTCAGGTGAAAATGATGGTTACTTCTTGTTCTTGACATTTCATTATGATGAAAGTGTCACAAGCCTTCATGAACACTCTGTAACTTTTCATTCCTATAAGTACTGTAAAGTAGCTGACCAGTACAGACCATAGCCATATACGCAATAGCTAGCTCTCCAGTAGTTCTCTGCCGTTCTTGTTAGTTATATATGGAGGTCTTCTCGAAGTTTTTATCAGAGACTGATGCGACTGTCAGGCTTGCAATACCAACCACTTCACTGTCACATTTTCAGAATCTTAGAGGACGTGACTTGCTGGTTAGAGATTGCGCTGAAGAAGAATGGACATTTCTACTATTCATTTTAATATTTAAAACTTAAAAGTAGGTGAATTTATCTTATTTTAAAAATATAGAAAAGATTTTTGCTATTACGTTTTGATTTCATTGGCTTTATTATCCAATTCAAAGTTAGATGAGGGTGGGTATTTCCGATTTCATATGGGTATATCCTCTTCAAGTGATTAATGTTAAGTCAATTTATGAAGCACTGGAGTGTTGGCTGCAAATTGTATTGTAATGTGAACACTTGAAAATTATATGTTCATACTTTATTTTAACATTTAATTAACTTGATGATGCAACTTAATTACAAGAAGAATATCGGAAATTAGTTAAATTCAAATATAAAAGAAAAGTAGGCAGTCCAACAATCCTTGTAAGTTAAGTTTTATTCATTATATGAAAATGATCAACTTTTTGGCCCAAAAATTTCCATCATCTTTCTCAAGTAGTGGTTAGTTGTGATCATAAATCTTGTCAATTTTGTCTCTTCAAACGTTTTCTTTAATTTCTAATGCACAATTATTTTGTTTGGTTTGGGTAAATTGTGTGTAATTTTCCTTGATTCTGTGAATTTGGGACTCAGTTATTTGGCCTTGAATATTCCGACGTGTTGGGAATATCCATATTGGTGCATTCAACACATAAATTTTTTTCCCACTAAAGATACAAAGAAGAAGCAAAAATAAAAAAAAAAAGGTAATTACATTCGAACCACCTAATACATTTGTGATTTACCTTAGAACATTGGGTTTGTAGAATGTTTAATAAATTACGAAAATTAGTTGAGGTATGCATAAATTGTCCGGATAACCCGATCATTAAAAAAAAAAAAAAAAGTTAACTCACCTTCATTTCAAGCCCAATAACTCTATCCAAATATTGTTCTTGCCATGAGGATGCAAAATTGAGTGAATTGACAACATTAGAAGAACAAAAGTTGCACATTTTGAAGGTAGCTAGTTCCGAGGATACTTTTTAGTATTCATAAATGATCAAACATAATCTTGAAATTGGGAATATTTCTACTGGAAAAATATACGTAACATCATAGCAACGAAAATATATAGAAAAAGAAAAACAAAGGTCTAATCTAATCNTCAAAACCCCCTAACCCTACCCAATCGCACTACCGCAGCCCATTCCATTGATTTCCTTTCTCTGTTTCTCAGATTCTTCTCTTTCTCAATTTCTCTACTAAAATTTCTCAGATTTCTCAGCTTCTCTTCGAAAATTTCTCCATTAAATTTCGTTGATGATTTTTTTTTTTCTATAGAACGTATGCACATCTTGTGTATGTACAGAAAGAAAATGGAAAACAAAAACGAAAAGGAAGACTTAGAGATAATCGATTACAAGATTGAAACTTGCGATCAAGAAATTAAGTCTTTAAGGCTGGTGCGTGTCCAGGCAGAACCTTGACGCCGCCAGATCTTCATCTTCCACAGTTGCTTGTATATAGCTGTTAGTCTACAGCTTCAATTGGTTTTGGTAAGCGAAATATGTTGAGGAGGGGAACTGACTGAGTATTGTTTCCACAGAATCGGAGTTTTGGTGTTTGAGATGAAGAAGTTGAGTCACCAGAAGAAGAAAAAAATAGGGGATGTCATGCCCATTGATTAGCCATTGGTTTTGTCTGGTAATGGCATGGTGTCGGTGTTGAACCTGTTTTGTTTTGGTTTTTGAATTTTCCAATGTTTCCCAAAACCAAAGCATTGGCTTCCTGGAAATGTTGCAATTGTTTTCCAAGGCCAGTTGTATTCCACTACTTGGTCATGGGCCAATTTAAGTCTCAATTGTTGTAGAATGGGCCTGAAACTATATTGTATCTAACATTTGGGCTACACAAAAGCCCAAGATCATTTAATTCTATTGTTTGAGAAATTTCATACTTGTTGCCAAACGGTTAAGGATTTGATGGAGGAAATTAAAAGATGGTGAGAATTATTTGTTGTATGAAGTGTGTTCCAATCTCATTCCAGCCAGTGGCCTTTTGGATAAAGTTTTTTAAAAAATGTACTGATGTCGTCACACATTGTGATGATGTCACCGGTCCAACCGACGGTCCAACCGGGGTTTTGTAGAGCGGAGGCCGGTGGATTGAATGGTGGTTGGACCGGTTGAACCATGACCAGGCCAGCAGAGCGGGTTGCCCTCCGGTCCGGTTTTTAAAATAATGTTGATCACCACCATTCAATCCACCAGCCTCCACTCTACAAAACCCCTCTTACCCTAGCTCCTAGTAACTCACTGAATGTCAGCTGAAAAAATGAAGTGTATTTTGAGTATTAAAAGAATATAAACTTTGGGTGAAAATGTGGTATTTTGAAGCTTTTTGCGTGAGAAAATGTCCTTAAGGCAAACTTTGGGTGGGAAAAGGCGTTTAGTTCTTAAATAAACAACAAAAGTAAACACCACCCATCACTCAACATGATTAATATTTTATAAAATAAAGAATTTGTATAAATAAATAATCGTAATAAGTACACAAGCTACCTAATTCTAAGGTCAAATTTTATAACTTCAATTATTTGCTTAATTTTGTGATATCAAAAGTATTTGTGTGGTAATTTATTTATCATGAGGACTAATTTTTCTTGTGTTGAAAAGAACAAGCAAACAGTAAAATAAATTCATTAATATCTCAAATATTTGTCTTTTCTTTGTACGTTGGTTTATTGNTTTTTATTTTTATTTTTATCGTGCATAACATAATTAAATTAATTTATAATTGAGCTTGGATGTGAATAACGTGCTTAAAGATTTTGTCAATGGAAATTAGTGGGTGAGGGTGTGTATATTCAAAGTAATCGTTTTTGGTGTGTTAATTTATTAATGCAAATAATGTGATGTTCACATAAAAATAGTCAGGAATTAATTTGTTGTATTTATATATACACTTTCCTTAAGATTAAACAATGAGATTAGATTAGACTATTAGTCATTAATTAGCAGGATTTTATACTTACAGATAAATCAATTACATTAAAAGAAGGTGAAAAATTGAGCAATTCAAGGCCTCTCTCTGTTCTCTATAAAAACAACTCATGCTGTGTCCTGAAGTTGCAGCCCGACCAACACAAAAAAAATTAGCATCTCTTTCTTTCTTTCTTTCTTTCTGTGTTCCTTTAATCCTTTCATTTTGATTTTGAAGAATGGCAACCACATCTGAGGATGTGATTGCAAAAACTGAGGAGGAGGTGGCAATGGAGATTGAACCCCTAACCGGGCTTTCCTTTCCTGTTAAACTGGATGATGGGAAGCAGCTGACTTGTCTTGGTTTGAGGAAGAGGTCTATGCTCGGCATTGGCATCAAGATTTATGGCTTTGGTAAAAAAAATTCTAGCCACATTCTTTAATTTACTTCAAACTTTGCGTACAGATATCAACAGAAGAGAATCATGAAACTGATAAAAACTCCAACTTGCAGGGATGTATGCAGACAATGGGAAACTTAAAGAAGTTCTGAAGTCAAAGATCGGGAAAGCCCCAGAAAAACCCACAGAAGAAATGTATCAGGTGGCGATTGATAGTGATGTGGAGATGACGGTGAGGCTGGTGATTGTATTTTTTAAAGTCACCATGGGCATGGTAAGAAAGAATTTTGATGAAGGTCTTGGAGCATCCATAAAGAAACTCGATGGCGGGAAGAAGAATGATGAGCTAGCAACCAAGTAATTAACTATTGCGTCCATCCATGGCACTTCAATTACACATTTTTACTTAGCTATTGCGAGATCTTTACCTGAAAATTTGATTCTGCTGTGTTGATGATAGGGTGATGGGTCAAGCATCAGATGACATGAAGCTACCATCTGGTTCTGTAATTGAGATTTCTCGTCTTCCAGGACACATTCTTGAAACCAAAGGTTGGATACAAAGATGAAAATGATAACTGTTAAAAATTTACAAATCCAATTACATTTTACAGAAATTTAACAATGTTTGTTTGGTGGATGCAGTGAAGGGTGAGCTAATAAGCAGGGTGGAGAGTGAACTTCTCTGCAGGGCGTACATTAACATGTACCTGGGAGACGATCCATTGGACAAAGAGGCCAAAGAGAAATTTGGAACGTCCATGCTTTCTCTCTTCGAATCCTGAACTGAAACAGATCCTGGAATTGAAGGGAATAAGATCCAAAGTCTATTGAATAAAATTCCTAAGTGTTGTCAATTCTGAATTTTCTGTTTTCGTGATCGAATATCATGCATTTGTTGAATGTAGAAATCATATAACTCAGAGCTAAAAGATTTCTTTCCGGATACTCATTCACTGGACAATGTTTGCATACAGATAAATGAGGGGATTCCTCACCATCACAAAGGGCCTTGAAAGATCATCAAATCAAGGAAATTTTATATCAGAAAACAAAATAAATTTGAGTAGATGAAGCTTGAACCGAAAGTGGTATTTGTTGGTTCTCATTGTCATATAACAAGAATTATAGTGTTAACTTTAGCTTTTGTTAATTCTCGGTCATATTCAAAGTGGTTTCCATATGATCATGTTTATTATCCCAATCATATAATTTACTGTTTGGAGAATGCAAGTGGATTTCATCACCTGGCCGCATTTTATGTGATCTTCACAACACTGCTAAAAAAATTGGAGTTTCCGTTAGAAAAAATTCTTAATTGTGGGCTTACATTAATTATATGGTAGTTTTGATTAAAACCGAGTAAATTAATAGTCCACTAATATACTAATGGATTTAATGTGAACATATTAAAGTTTAGCTCATTACACTTCGTTTGATTAATCTAGATTGACAACAAAGTGTGGGCCTTAAGGATTATTGGGCCTTCAATGAGAGGGTCCAATAAACTATTATTAAGTTGGTTAAGTCTCATTTCCAAACTATATAAGATAACTGAAACCCATTTTGAAAGTTATCATCAAGTTGCGTTATTGCAAAAGAAGACTTACGCTCTCTGCCTTTTGGGAAAAACAATCGCTGCTCTTTTAAGAAAGCTAGGATCAAGAATCATGACACAAATATGTTTGTCTATAATCTTGTACTATTAATTTAGTATTCTATAATTTAAATGTTTATCTTTTTGGGGGGATGTTTTTAATTTAATTCTATTCACATTGAGATTTGAGTGAATTAGAATTCATGTTTTAATTGTTATAACATGTGGTATCAAAGCCAAACAATTTAGATTATAGGATCTGAGTTTTTTAAAATTGAAATCAAGTTTTTTTATTCAATTTTGTGTAATTAGGGTTCATGTACAAATTAGGTTTTTCTCTAATTTTAGATAATCCCAATTTGGGGTTTCTATAATTTGAACCCATAATGGGTTTTTCTGGCCATTAAAGGTGATAAAGGGACGAATTTTGGCCTCTAGAGTGTAAATATTGCGACATGTTTTTTCTAGATTGTAGGGGTGAATATGCATTTTTATAAAACTTTTGGGGCTAAAATACAAAATAGAAGGGGGGCAAAATGAAATTAGCATATATATCGGGTCATAGCGACCCATGACCCAGTCAAATTTTGTCAACCAGACCCAATCAAATTGGTCAACCTGTGGCCGAACCAAATCGAGTCAACTTGACCTAGTCAAACTGAGTCGTTGACAATGCGTGTGGAAGCATGAAGGTGCGTGGAAGTGTGTTCAAGTGCATGGAAGCACGTGCGGGCGCATGTGATGGCATGTGAAGAGTATAAATTTTAGGAAACATAGAGTTGTTCACTGGATTAAAATGCAACAATATTGAATTAAGATTGTCAGAGATAATAAAATGTGTATCTCATGAAATCTTAATTTAGGCAATATATGTTTTAGTATCATTCGAATAATTCTGGTGGGTTGTCAGAATGTTTAATCGCCAAAGTGGTAAATTCATTGAAACTTGCAAAACTATTCATTTGAAAAATGATACACTCTTCATTTTAATGCACATAATTTTCTGTTCAAAAGTGATTATTATTTGTGTTAAAATTGACGATAGCATAAGGTTAATTTAGGAAATGCATTGGTCCTGAAAATACAATCACTCAAAATGGTTGTTTTTCAATTGACATGTATTTTCCTATAAAGTGGAGGTTGGACAATGGCCTAGAAGGGTTACTGCCCAAAGGAGATAATTTTTTCTAGATCATATGTTCACATTTATTGTTATTGTAACCTTGTGTTTGGGATCTTTATTGCATGTCATTTTCTCTACCCAAAGGAGAGTTAATGGTGATGCATATAGTATCTCTATGTGAAATAGCTTATAAGGTTTAAAGCTATTTTTGATTATTTATTGCTTATGATATTGATCTGTTGTATTGTTTTATTTCAAGCAGTCTCTATTACAGTGAACAATAATAATGCAACCATTGAGGTCCTAACTGGTAGTAAATATAAGAGATGGAAGCAAGACATAGATTTTGCGTTAGGGATTGCTGATATGATATGGTTCTATGAGAGAATGAACCACCTATGCCCACTGTGGAAAGTAGTGCTGCAGAAAGGGATTTATATGCTAGATGGGAGAAGTCAAACATGCTGAGTCTAATTGCAATGAAGAGAACCATAGCTGATTAGCTGATGAGTGGTTTACCTGAGACCACTAATGCTAGGGTGTTTCTCACTGCTATTAGTCAGAGGTTTTATGTTTCTAATAATGTTGAAGCTGGCAACTTGATGAGTGCATTAATTGAAGCCAAATATGACAGTTCCAAAGGAGTGAGAGAGTTCAGTCTGAGAATTGTAGATATTCAGTCGAGGCTTAGAAACCATGAGATCCCAATCAACGATAACTTTGTTGTTAATCATACCTTGAACTCTCTGCCCATAGATTTCAGTCAGATCAAGACAACTTATATTGCTCAGAGTCAGACTTGGAGTATTAATGGTATGATTACCAAGTGTGTGGCTGAAGAGGAAAAGCTGAAGAAGGAAAGATCTGAAACTATTAATCTAGTTGCACAGTCTAAGACCCATAGTAAGGGAAAATGGAAGAATAAGAAGTTTAAATCTCATGGCCCAAAAAACGATAAGAGTTTTAAGAAACGAGATTCTGATCAGGCTTAGAAGAAAGCAGATGTGAAGGACAAGTGTTATTTCTGCAAGAAGAAGGGTCACATTTAAGTACAAGGGCTGGTTAGAGAAGAAGAATAAAGAACAAGGTAAGGCACTTGCTCTTGTTTGTTTTGAATCAAATTTAGTTAATGTTCCCAAAGATAGTTGGTGGATTGATAGTGGTGCAACAATTCATGTGACAACAACATTACAGGGGCTAATCAAAAGGTGTGATCCAATTGAGAGGGAGTCCAAATTAAAAGTGGGGAATGATGCTGATGTTGAAGTGTGCTACGTAGGCACAATGAAGCTGATTTTAGACTCTGGATCAGTTTTGTATTTGGAGAATACTTATTATGTTCCCTCTTTTAGAAGAAATTTAATTTTTGTTTCTTTACTTGATAAAACTGGACCACTGGTTATAGACTTGTTTTTGGTAATGGAAAAGTTGATTTGAGTTTTAATTTTGAGGTTATTAGATCTTGTGTATTATTGGATGGCTTATATAAAATGTATTTGGATCCTAATCAATTTTATTATCCCTTTAATGTTGAGAGTGTTGGAGTTAAAAGATTTTTGATTAAATAAAGATCTTTATTGTTATAGCATAAAAGGTTGGGACATAATTCTAGAGAAAGAGTTAATAGGCTGATAGAAGAAGAGATTCTTCCGCCTCTAGATTATGAAGATCTTGGAACTTGTGTTGGTTGTATCAGAGGTAAGTTGTCCAAGTCTAAGAAGAAAGTTTCAACTTGGAGTCAAGGTCTTCTTGAGATCATCCACACATATATTAGTGGATCCTACTTATCCAACTTATATGGCAATAGATACTTCATTACCTTCATTGATGATTTTTCTCGATATGGTTATGTTTTTCTGATTAAGGAGAAGTCTGATGCTCTTGAAAAATTCAAAATTTTTAAGACTGAAGTAGAAAAACAAACGGGAAAAGTCATCAAAATGGTTAGGTCTGATCGAGGTGGGGAGTATTATGGCAAATATGGTGAGACATGATAGCAGATGGGGTCATTTGCTAAGTTTTTACAAGATTGTGGTATTGTTCCTCAATGCACAATGCCGGGGAATCCTAAGCAGAATGGTGTAGCTGAGAGACGCAATTACACTCTTAAAGAAATGATGAGTAGTTAAAATTTGCCTGAGTTGTTATGGGGTGAAGCAATTAAGACTGCACTGTACATCTTAAATAGGGTTCCTAGTAAATCTGTGCCAAAAACTCCATTTGAACTCTGGACAGGAAGAAAGCCTAGCTTGAGACACTTTCGAGTTTGGGGTTGCCTAGCTGAAGTGAGGATTTATAATCCCACTGAGAAGAAGTTGGATCCTAGGACCATTCAAGCCTATTTCATTGGTTATCCTGAGCATTCTAAAGGATACAAGTTTTATTGCTCTTCTCAGGGTACCAGGGTGGTTGAATATATGACTACCAAGTTCTTGGAACTTAACGTAGTTGAGGGTAGCAATACTCAACCTTTGGAGAATTGTGAAGCATGCTCATCAAGTATTGTTCCCTTATCTATTGGGCATGATGGTATGTTTTCAGAACCTGTTTTAGTGGAGTATCAACAGGTTCCAAAGATTCTTATAGAACATGAGACTGTGCAAAATGAAGTTGATGCTGAAGAACCTATTGTAGAGGAATTACTTGTGAAAGATAATATTGCTGATGAACTGGTTATTAAGATATCTCTTAGGAGATCAACCAAAGAAAGACGTTCTGCTATTTCTGATGATTATTATGTCTATCTTGGTGAGGCAGAATATGACATTGGTCAAGTTGTCGATCCAACAAGCTATAATGAAGCTCTCTTAGGTCAACAATTCGATAAATGGTTTGTTGCAATGAGGGAAGAAATGAAGTCAATAACAGACAATGAAGTATGAGATCTTGTGGAGTTGCTAGATGGTTTTAAGCCCATAGGTTGTAAATGGGTTTACAAGACAAAGAGAGACTCTAAGGGAAGAATTGATAGGTTCAAGGCTAGATTGGTTGCTAAGTGTTTCACTCAGAGAGAGGGTATCGATTTCAATGAGACATTTTTTCCTGTGTCTACTAAAGATTCATTCAGAATTATAATGGCCTTAATAGATTATTTTGATTTGGAGCTACATCAAATGGATGCCAAAACAGCCTTTCTGAATGGAAATCTTTATGAGGAAGTTTACATGATGCAACCAGATGGTTTTGTAGCTGAAAATAAGTAACACATGGTATGCAAGTTGAAGAAGTCAATCTATGGTTTAAAGCAAGCTTCTAGGTAGTGGCATCTCAAGTTTGATGAAG